TTCCTTCTTCCTTATTTGTATCTCATCTTAATACGTAGTAGTCGTTTCCTACACTGCCGGCCTGCGTGTAATGTTTATTCCTACCTGCATGCGTTTTACTGTATGTTTTTTTTCTGTCTTCCTATGTTCCTGTGACCTCGTACCTATGCCTTCTTGCGTGAATGTTTCGTTTATTTGTGCTTGCATGGCTTTACCTAATACTTACCTACTGAAAACATGTACGTCAACCTTGATATAAGACCTTTAGCAAGGGCGCCATTGATACACTTAGAGAAAACCCAGTAAGTGCCCGGGGACCAAGACTGTTCAACAGTCTCCCACCATGCATAAGGGGAATTACCAATAGACCCCTGCCTGCCTTCAAGAGGGAGCTGGACAAATACTCAAAGACGAGCCTGGCTCATGGCCGGGCTCAGAGAGTAGAGAAAATCGCGAAACTCTTCAGAGGTATATCAAAGGGGCCAGGCTGTGGTTCGTACGTTGGACTACGCGAGGCCAGCAGTAACGGCCTGGTTGATCAGGCCCTGATCCACCAGGAGTCCTGGTCGTGGACCGGGCCGTGGGGGGGGGGTTGATCCGTGGAACACCCTCCATTCCAACAGCCATGTACGAGGTGATTTTTTACACTCTCAGTCCAGCCTGAAGTCAGGTTTTCCAAGTGACAATCTGATGAACTTGGTTGTTGCTGCTAGCGAGTCGCGCCAATTACCGTATGCATTCCTAATAAAATTACACGAGTTGTGTGACTGGCTACTATAAAGTATCCTCATTATTCTAGTCAGTGTTAGCTTTCACTGATACATATATGCAGTAGTATCACAAGTAACTGACTGGTGTACTAATGTTACAGATATTAACCCAGCTGTTATGAAGGATGTGGGCGTGTACACAACCTGCGACCTGTGATGACGTTTCGGTCCGGCTTGGACCATTAACTAGTCAAATTATTTAATGGTATAAATAAGAACCGAAACATCATAAGTTTTAGTCTCCTATGAGTGGTTTATTTGGGTATTGTTTCCGTCACGATATTGTGGCTTTTTATTCGTTATGGGCGTGGGTGGGTCAGTGTATGACCGCTGTTGTTGATGCTGTTATGAAGGTGGGCGTTGGTGGTTGAGTGTTTGACAGTTAACTTTAGCTGTTCTTGGTATGTCACGCCCCACGAAAGCCTTGTCCTCAGCACTCGCCGCCGCCCACCAGGGCTTGGACTTGATACACCATTTGTTTACCGTGCAGCGCTGTATGACCCTTGTGGGTTTAGCGCTTAGTTTCGATTGTAATAATAATCATTTTATTAACCGTAAGTTGTAAGGATTTTTATTTATAAGCCAAAATTTAATATTTTTATTTTTGTATGATTACGGAGGAAGGGAACGACGAGGGTTGGGGGGGGGTGAAGGGGAAGAGGGGAGGTGAACACACAAAAAGTGGAGAGAGCTTGTCCTTGGGAGGCGTCCGTGTTCAGTGACTCACCCGACAGCTCCCCAACACCATCACCTTCCCTAACATTGTCATCGTCCTTACGTCCTTCACACTGTCGTGTACAGGGTTGTACTTGTTTTGTGAACCTCTAGTCTAACAATTTAGGGATTCACACTGGCCAGAATTGTAAGCGAAGTCTTTAAATTGAGAGGGCTGAAGTGCGTTCACTGGAGGCTGCAGCGTCTGCCTCGCTTACCAGAGTGCGTTGTGTGGGTGTTGAAGTGTGTGGGCCGGAAAGGGCTGTGACACCATAACTGAAGATTGTGGTGAGCGGTGGTGGTGGAACATGACTATAGGATACAGTCATATAGGTGTCAAAAATGTGATATGTTTGTAGCGGGTGTCATATTGTTTTGTAGCAGTGTGTAGTGTAGTATTGTTTAGTATGTTTAGTGCATGTTGTAGCATGTGTATGTATTGTTTAGTAGCAGTGTAGTGTCGTATTGTTTAGTAGCAGTGTGTAGTGTCGTATTGTTGAGAAGCAGTGTGTAGTGTAGTGTCGTATTGTTGAGAAGCAGTGTGTAGTTAGTGTCGTATTGTTGAGAAGCAGTGTGTAGTGTCGTATTGTTGAGAAGCAGTGTGTAGTGTAGTATTGTTTAGTAGCAGTGTGTATGTAGTAGTATTGTTGAGCAGCAGTGTGTAGTGTAGTATTGTTTAGTAAGCAGTGTGTAGTGTAGTATTGTTTAGAGCAGTGTGTAGTGTAGTATTGTTAGTAGCAGTGTGTAGTGTAGTATTGTTAGTAGCAGTGTGTAGTGTAGTATTGTTGTAGCAGCAGTGTGTAGTGTATGTATTGTTTAGTAGCAGTGTTGTGTAGTGTGTATTGTTTGAGTAGCAGTGTAGTGTAGTGTAGTATTGTTTAGATAGCAGTGTGTAGTGTAGTATTGTTTAGTAGCAGTGTGTAGTGTAGTATTGTTTAGTAGCAGTGTGTAGTGTAGTATTGTTTAGTAGCAGTGTGTAGTGTAGTATTGTTTGAGTAGCAGTGTGTAGTGTAGTATTGTTAGTAGCAGTGTAGTGTCGTATTGTTTAGAAGCAATGGTTGTAGTGTCGTATTGTTAGTAGCAGTGTGTAGTGTCGTATTAGTTTAGTAGCATGTGTGTAGTGTCGTATTGTTGAGAAGCAGTGTGTAGTGTCGTATTGTTGAGAAGCAGTGTGTAGTGTCGTATTGTTGAGAAGCAGTGTGTAGTGTCGTATTGTTGAGAAGCAGTGTGTAGTGTAGTGTCGTATTGTTGAGAAGCAGTGTGTAGTGTCGTATTGTTGAGAAGCAGTGTGTAGTGTAGTGTCGTATTGTTGAGAAGCAGTGTGTAGTGTCGTATTGTTGAGTAGCAGTGTGTAGTGTCGTATTGTTGAGTAGCAGTGTGTAGTGTCGTATTGTTGAGTAGCAGTGTGTAGTGTCGTATTGTTGAGTAGCAGTGTGTAGTGTAGTGTCGTATTGTTGAGAAGCAGTTGTAGTGTCGTATTGTTGAGAAGCAGTGTGTAGTGTAGTGTCGTATTGTTGAGAAGCAGTGTGTAGTGTAGTGTCGTATTGTTGAGAAGCAGTGTGTAGTGTAGTGTCGTATTGTTGAGAAGCGATGTGTTGTTAGTGTAGTGTCGTATTGTTGAGAAGCAGTGTGTATGTAGTGTCGTATTGTTGAGAAGCAGTGTTGGGAAGTGTAGTGTAGTGTCGTATTGTTGAGAAGCAGTGTGTAGTGTCGTATTGTTGAGAAGCAGTGTGTAGTGTAGTGTCGTATTGTTGGGAAGCAGTGTGTAGTGTCGTATTGTTGAGCATGTGTAGTGTAGTGTCGTATTGTTGAGCGTGTAGTGTCGTATTGTTGAGAAGCAGTGTGTAGTGTAGTGTCGTATTGTTGAGAAGCAGTGTGTAGTGTAGTGTCGTATTGTTGAGAAGCAGTGTGTAGTGTCGTATTGTTGAGAAGCAGTGTGTAGTGTAGTGTCGTATTGTTGAGAAGCAGTGTGTAGTGTAGTGTCGTATTGTTGAGAAGCAGTGTGTAGTGTCGTATTGTTGAGAAGCAGTGTGTAGTGTCGTATTGTTGAGAAGCAGTGTGTAGTGTAGTGTCGTATTGTTGGGAAGCAGTGTGTAGTGTAGTGTCGTATTGTTGGAAGCAGTGTGTAGTGTAGTGTCGTATTGTTGAGAAGCAGTGTGTAGTGTGTTACATCGTTGTAAATAAGTATGCACATGTGCTGTAGATGACATGGGGAAAATGACACAATTACAGAAACGAAATTTATTGAAAAAAAATTTCTGTAGACAGGTTTCTCGACCGAACAAGACTGTTCATAGGCGAAACGTCTTAAATAAGTTCCTCTGCGAATGTCTTTTTTACCACTTCTCGGCTTTGCCTCATTTGTCTCCTTTCAGGTGTGTTATATTGTTGAGGACCAGTGTGTAGTATGTGTGTATATTGTTGAGGACCAGTGTGTAGTAGGTGTGTTATATTGTTGAGGACCAGTGTGTAGTATGTGTTATATTGTTGAGGACCAGTGTGTAGTAGGTGTGTTATATTGTTGAGGACCAGTGTGTATTAGGCGTGTTATATTGTTGAGGACCAGAGTATAGTAGGCGTGTTATATTGAGGACCAGTGCGTGTAGTTGGTGTTGAGGATCACTAGACAGGAAAAAAGCGAAGGCGCTTACAGCTTTATTCAACAACAATGAACTCAGGTAACCTTATCTAAATAAATAATCCCAAATGTTTGCGAGCTTTGAAACTGGGCTTTAGTTAAGTTTATATCCGTATCTATGTAATATTCTCTCGCACAGGCTGCATTGTAGTAAATTTTGATGGCTGATGTAATTAATTTTGACCAGTATGTAAGTGGGGAGGGTATGTTAGGGATAAGAGTGAAGGAGTTTTAATTATTCACAGCTAACAATTTTGAGAGGAAACTAATACGTTTTGATCCTTTCTGGATTCTCTTCCCCTGCCCAAAGGAAAACAGTGAGCTATAAATTGTGCTATTTTTTAAATGCGAATGTTAAATTTTACACCAAAACTAACGTAGCATCCCGACAACCACGCTAAAATTTACATAATAATAATTAAATAATTCTATTTTGTTTGCCTGATAATCTTGAGGTGATGCCTATTGGTTTAAATTTATACATTTCATTTAATCTTATGGTGATGATGCGGGACTTTTATTAGGCTCCGGCTACAGATGGGATTAGGGGTGATGCCATATGTGGGGTCTTGATGACCACTGACACAATGTAATATTTGGACCTTTTTCTTTATTTCTCCAAAAGTCGATTTGATTTTGTTATTAAACAAGATTGAGGTGTAATTTATGTGAACTAGAACCTTGATGGCAGGAAGCCAAATGCATCAAGGACCGGGTAAGTCTTACAAATAAATCTCATAGACCATGTACTGTGACGACTTAAGGTTTTGTTTATGGCTCAAGGTTAACACACTCCTTGGATTATCGTACACCTGACCAGTCATGAATTCTGCTTGACATATTGCAGAGAATAACGCTCTTTTGTATATATTTTTAACAAGTGTTTTCCCTCCCCACAGCCTAAATTGTATGGGAAATTTTGAGTTGTGTGGTGTAGTAGCAGCAGCAGGGTGGCGGCAGGCAAGTGTATGGGCCCATAGTGGTGTTATAGCTTGTGTACTAGGTGTGTTCACTGTATGGCCTGCTCCTGCCCGACCCTCACACGACACACGGCTAGAATCGAGTGATGAAGATAACATGTGAAGTAACAGGTGTGTCAGTGCCTCTGCTGCTCTCTCCTGCCTGCTAGGCACCACATTGTGTCACAGCTCTTTGACTGCCAAGTGCCACAGCACACCCTCTCACTCCTATCTAAAAAAAAAAAAAAAAAAAAAATTATTCGTTGTATCAGCGAAGGTTACCGACCAGTGTTCATTAGCTGGTATGAACAAGCCTATTACAAATATATTAAAGGGCATTCTTACTGATAACGGAACCAGAATTAACTCCGGCATTGTGATACATGATATATGTAAAGTATAGTGAATAGTATTAGTAGAAAAGGAGCACGCTGGGAGAAGTGTATGTGATTAGCTAGTGCTGGAGGTATAAGCAGTGGAAGATGACTGCGGTGTACTCTGGAATGAGGGTGACGGGTCCTCTGCCTTCCTTCACGCAGCTGCCCCGCGGCGACCACCTCACCTCCGTCCAGTGGCTCTCCCTCGCCGTCAACCTCCTAGATATGTAAGTCACTCATACCTAAAGCACCTTTTCCTACTCCCATGATGGACGGTGTAATCAGTCGATGTTTGCAGTGATTTAACTGGGTAAGAAATGTTATTGCTGGCGTGCCACGCGTCCAAGTTGTGGAATAATAAATTTAATAGGTTTGGAGAAATACAGTAATAAGTTGGTCATGTACACCGATGTGATTATCTGCACGACGCTGCTTGATTTGCTAAACAGGTAAGTATTTAAATATTTGTACTTGTGTAAGTATGTGTGCGTTCACTTTGCAGTATTGTCAGGGCCACTCCAGAATGTTAAAGTTTTTAATAACTGCAGTTTTGAGAAGGTGCAGTAATATTCCTGTATTAAGGAGGAGAAGGGTCGGGTTTTCATGATTTACACATTTCAGGTAAGACACATAGGCAACAGTTAGGCAACTTTATTCCGAAACGTTTCGCCTACTGTGTAGGCGAAACGTTTCGGAATAAAGTTGCCTAACTGTTGCCTATGTGTCTTACCTACCAACCTGTCGGTATTGTATACCATTTTTGATGTTCATTTACACATTTCACTTGAAGACATTACCTGGTTAATTAGTCGTACAAGTCGCTGCTTCTCAGAATATAACATCACCTGTTCAGGTTAAAATTATTTAACATTAGTATAAGAAAGTGGATATTATGTTTTATAATAACTATCATAGTACGAAAAATGGTGTTTCACAAAGCAGTGTTCCAGCACGTTTACTCTTCCGTTTTCATACATGACAGACAAAATACAACTATGTGTTACCTTTTGCCAAAAAATTCAAAATGAAAATGAAAATTTCATTAGCATATGACGTTAAAAATAGTCTTATGTCAACAAAATTTTCCTCAGGGCAAAGGAAAATGTGATGAGCAATAAAGCTGCTGCGAGACGGGAAAAAATAGGAAAAATAGGAAAAATAGGAAAAAGTCGAATCAGGTGAAGGGGACAAGAATTACTCCTGGTCATAGAATGGAATTAAAGTATTTATCAATACACCACATGACATTTAGAGAGAAGAAATGTCTTATATCAGAGTCCAGGAAAATAAAAGGAAAACTCACAATAATTTTTTTTTATTCTGCTTTGACCTTCCAGTTTCCTTTCGGAGGGTAAACCAGGGCTGTGATGGATATGTGGGTGAGTAAGCCACCAGCAGCAACAGCCTGGTTGAACAGACGAGCCTGGCCCAGGGCCGGGCTCTGGGGGTAGACAAACTCTTGAAACTTATCAAAGGTATATCAGAGATAGAAATATGTTTTGTAGATACCATTTACTTCTCGCCTACATCCAGTCAAACATTTAAACTATTGGGATCTCTCCTAATGTATGAAAGGTAGGTGCTTCTAGAACTAAGAATGAAAGTTCATAATCTATACATGAAAAATACTGTGTCAGGTATGTAATCTGCACACAAAAAAGTATGAATATGAGGAAGTTAAGCAGGTAAACAGCAGGGATGCTATAAGTACAGGTAGGGAACAATATCGTTAGAGGCCAGATATGGGAGGAAGGGTAAAAATAAACCCAGTGAAAAACAGGGGCGCTGTGGTCACGGTAAGAGAACATTGTATCAACACCCGTGGCCCCACACTATTCGACATCCAATAATAATAATTATCTTTATTTCTACAAGTACATGATACAACTTATACAGACCTAGCTGACATCAGTGACATATATAAAGCCCCTTGTTATGCTGAGTAACTTGGGTTAATTTTGTCCCCAGAATGCGACCCACACCAATTAGCTAACACCCAGGTTACCTACTTACTGCTAGGTGGACAGGGACAGCAGGTTCTTTAATGAAACACGCCCAGTATTTCCACCCTTACCGGGGATCGAACCTAAGACACTGTGTGTGAGCCGAGTGTGCTACCAACCGAACTACGGGGCATTGTATGGGTCAAAAATACGAGTCATACGGTCAGTAGGGATGTATTACCACAGGTTGAATTGCCAGACTAGACAAAAAATCCGAAACTGGTCACAGGTATGCCACAGTGATACATTTTATAGCCTTTCTCGGGAAGAAACTATCGTAAACCAGATTTTTTTTTTTTTTCAAATAGACTAAGGACCTCAACTTTCCACATTGCTTTTCATGGTTATTGTACTAGCAGAACCCATTTAAAAGCTTTAGCAATTTTATAACCACCTGAATTCAAGTGGAAATGTAGTCAGACAGTGGTGAAACAAAACTTTGCTATCATTCTGTAGCATTGATCCCGACGCCGTCTGAGAACCCTCTCCGTCCCAGAGCAGGTTCCTCAGGCAAAACGTTCCCCAGGCACTTAAGAAGCAGCCACCGAAGCATTATCGAAAGTAATCTTCCTGCTGGCTTGCTTATCATGAAAGCGAGACAATCACTGCTCGCTTACAGTGACAGACAGCAACTTTTTGAAAGAATATTGACGTCAGTAAACATGTACCATTCGGGGACGGGGCGAGTGAAGACGAATTTATGAAAATAATATAATGGTATTATTTTAAGAACTTTTTAATAAATAAAATTACTGAAACTTCGCTGCACATCAGTTTTAATATATTCGATGACCCATGAATGAAGTAAGGGCTTCCTATCCCCCTTTCTCTTCCTCGCCGTACTGCTCTCTGGCAATATCCTCATCGCCCCTATTGAAGAAATCCTTCGTCCCAGCAGAGAGTAACGGATTTCATTACTTAATGTATGTAATTCATCCTGTTGGACGATCTGTGACAGGAAAGCGTAATTAGATTTTGTTCCCACAATTTAACTTTCGTATAGAACAGGACACTCATACACTGCCGCTGTATCCAGTTTCTTCAATAAAAGTGCTTTGGTAACGACTGTGTAAAGTCATGTACAACCCTGGAAAACTGTTTACACTGGTTCTTTGTGGTTTGCGTATCTGATGTCAGTGGTGTATCACTGAAGCAGTGAGGCGAGTAAATGTGGTGGTAAGCTGGGATATTTTAACATTGTCCATTATTGCCCTTTCTAGCGCTTGTATCCGAGAAATCGGATCTGTTCTCCCCTTTCTTGGGTCAAATTTGATTACTTAACACTCCCCAGCAGCTGTACGATCTACTGGTTTAGCGCTTACGCGTAAATATAAAAATAATAATTGCTGGCACTTGTCGTAATTAAAAAAAAAAATACACAGAGGAGTTTTCGCCCGATCAAGCACTTTCAGAATATTGAAAAGATCCAGAGCTGAGGAGTGTATCACTATTATTTTCCTCGGGTATTTTCTCTCATGAATTTAATGTTTGTTATATTTTCTTTAAAAGTTCTCTCCTCCTTCACCCCATCTCTGTCTTCTCCCCCACCCTCTTTTTTTTTTTACTGTTGGTGTATTTATTTTTTTCAAAGTGATCAGAATTTCTGCTTTCGAATTTATCATAAAGACCTGCTTTGTGGAAACTCAGAATTAAGTTATTATAAGAGAAAGCTGTATTTTATGTAATGTGTGATGATGCCAGAAGGTTTTGCATTCAATGATCGCAGGTGTTACACCACAACTGCAAGGAAAATAACTCGATGAATATCTAAAACATTCAAAGCAAGTGCTGTAAAGTCAGTTATTATACTTTTAATTCATTGGTTTTCATTTGAAGGGAATATTACTGTACGCTAGCAACCCCTTTTAAGGCAGACGAAATTTCATATCGAGAATGTATAGAAAACTTTCACGGTCCGTATAAATTCAGGCACCTAAATTTTTGGGAATGCCTGAAGTCCATCGGACTGTACTTCTTGGAACGTAGAAGAACGAAGAATAATGGAGGGACTGGTCCCAAACCTGCACACCTAAATAACTCCATACGGAAGAAAAAGACGCGGGAGACGGTGAAAACTGCTCTTAAATGAAAGAGTGCAATGAACACAAAGAGAACTCAAATGTCAAGGCACCCAGACTTTTCATCACCTCCCTTTGTTTATATAAAGGAATTACCAGCATATCTGGTTGTTTTCAAGAGGGGATTTTATAAACTTCTAAAGTCGGTTTCTGATCAGTCTGGGTATGATACCTGCGTTGACCTGCGCGCGGCCAGCACCCACAGCCTCATCTGAGGCCGTCAGACAGGAGGCCTGGTCTGGGATAGATCCGCTGAGGCAGTGATCCCAGGAAATGACTACGGTGTGAAGTGAAACTTACCAGCGCTTCTTAATGCGTTGTGCGAGTCAGGGAGACATTTGGGCCGTAGGAAGAAAGGCCGTGTGCGGCAAGAGAACATGGGAACAAGAAGGGGGAAGTGAGGAGGAGAAAAAATGTAAGATATGAAAGGGAAAGAAATGGTTTGAAAGCTTGAAAGGTGGGGAAGAAAATGTATGTGTAGATCGGAGGAGGTGGTGGAGGAGGAAGAGATTGGCTAGTGAGAACAAAAATAAATGCGCCGGGAAATAAGAACAGTATTATATGAATAAAATATCTAGAGGTCTTTATAAAGGGAGTGGAACGAGGATTGGGCATGGAGGTCAAGCAGTTCCCAAGTGGTGGCAGCAACAATGAGTGTCTGGTGCTGCAAGTGTCAGGTTCTTACTATGTGGGGAAGGGGGGTGGGTGAAGGGGGGATAGCAGCAAGAGTCAGGTAGTGGGCATCTTAAATGTACAATTTACCAGGTGTTAATTCTTACGTACCTGGCGGCTCTTCCAGCCATTTAATAATGTAATTAGCGTCGTGCACGTCATCTCT